GCCTGCCCGCTTCCCAGAGCGATCGCAGCTCTGCAGCCCAGCGGCCGCCCCGCATGCGAGGCGGCACAGCCAGCGCAAAAAAAAAAGTTACTCCTCCGATCGCCGTCGCGCTAGTGGGCGGAGAAGAAAGCCGGACTTACAAACAAAAGCAAGAGAACGCTTATTATTATTATTGTTCTTTTTCTTGCATTTTTCCCCCTGCAAAGAGAGGGGGAGGGAGAGTGCGTGAAACACAACCGTTAATAATAGCAACAACTTAGCTTCGCAGGATTTTTTTTTCCAGTCCACTCACTCACTCTCTCTTGTTTTTTTCTTCAAGAAAAAACCCTCTCCTTTTTCTTTTGCCAGCGGGTTTCTGGCAAGAAGAAGAAAAGCTTGGCACCTCGCTCCTGCCGCCGCCTCGCTCCCTTCCGTACTTTGCTCCCCTTTTCTTTTTTTGCATTGCATTGCAGCCTTCCTGCAAGAGAGAAGGCAGGGGAGAGCGAGCAGCGCGTCGCCCTTCTCCCTGCGGTGTCGCTGGGTCCCTCCAGGACGTGGCTTAGCGGCGGCGAGGCGGAGACGAAAGAAAGTTTTATTCGGGCTGGCTGGCACTCGGGAGGTTTGGACCCTGGAGTGAGGCGGCGAAGCAGGGACCCCCTCCTCCTCCTCCTCCACTACCTCCTCTGGGCTCCCTCTCCGTCGGGAGAGAGGAGACTCTTCCTCCCCCACCCCCAGCGCGATGGCTGGCGAGCTGAGCATCGGCCCCGACCTGCCCACTAGCCCTCTGGCCATGGAGTACGTCAATGACTTTGACCTGATGAAGTTCGACGTGAAGAAGGAGCCCCTGGGCAGAGCGGATCGCTCGGGCAGGCACTGCACGCGCCTCCAGCCGGCTGGATCGGTCTCCTCCACCCCCATCAGCACCCCTTGCAGCTCGGTGCCCTCTTCGCCCAGCTTCAGCCCGACCGAGCAGAAGACCCACCTGGAGGACCTCTACTGGATGGCCAACAGTTACCCGCAGATGAACCCCGAGGCCCTCAACCTCACCCCGGAGGACGCGGTGGAGGCCCTCATCGGCTCCCACCAGGTGCCCCAGCAGCTCCAGAGCTTCGAGACTTTCCGGGCTGCGGCTGCCCACCACCACCACCATCACCACCACCAGCATCACCACCATCAGTACCCCGGGGTGACCCACGAAGACCTGTCCGGCAACGGGCATCCCCACCACCACCATCACCCTCACCATCACCAGCCGTCTCCCACCCCTTCCACTGCCTCCAGCTCCTCCCAGCAGCTCCAGAACACGCACCAACCTCACCCCTCCTCCTCCTCCTCCTCTTCCTCCTCTTCGTCTTCCAGTAGCGTGGAGGACCGGTTCTCCGATGACCAGCTGGTCTCCATGTCAGTGCGAGAGCTGAACCGGCACCTGAGGGGCTTCACCAAGGATGAGGTGATACGCCTCAAGCAGAAGAGGAGGACCTTGAAGAACAGAGGCTATGCCCAATCTTGCAGGTACAAGCGGGTCCAGCAGAAGCACCACCTGGAGAACGAGAAGACCCAACTCATCCAGCAGGTGGAACAGCTCAAGCAAGAAGTGACCCGGCTGGCCAGAGAAAGAGACGCCTACAAGCTCAAGTGCGAGAAACTGGCCAGCAATAGCTTCCGAGAGGCCGGATCCACCAGTGACAACCCGTCTTCCCCGGAGTTCTTCATGTGAGTCCATTTAAACAAACAAACAAAAAATTAAAACCAACCGAAGCTCCCACCCACCCGCTCCCCACTTGTCCCCCCTCTCCCGTCTGCTGACATCTCCACCCATTTGTCCTCCTGAGCAGAAAGAGTGTCAGAAGAATAAACGAGAGGCCTGGGGTTGGGGGTGGGTGGGTGACCGATCTACAATCCATGACTGCGAAGTCTTTGCAGCCTCTTGCCCTCTTATTAATTAGCCGAATGGGAGGGGAGGAGAGGCAACTTTTCATCTTAGTTGGCCAGCTAGAGAGAAAGAGAGAGAAACGGGGAGGAAAGAGACAGAAGTGGGCTAGGAAAGAAGAGGACTGGTTGAAATAAAATGTTTTATACCAATCGATTGCTTGCTTGTAGAACTTTAACCTGGACTTTGCAGAGCGAACGGATGGACACTGGACAAACCATCTAGATTACCTGCTTTGGAGTTCTTTTTAACAAAAAGGAAGAAGGAAGAAAGAAAGAAAAGAGAGAGAGAGGGAGCATGCACAATTTCTCTGCAAAAGGAGAGGACAATATATGCAGACTCTTCATATATTGCCTACCTTGAGAGAAGAGAGACAGAATTCACATGGGACAGTTTCTGTGCAAGGGGGGGAGGGAAGAGGGAGGGAAAGAAAATGTAAAGGGAGAGGGAGAGAGAGAGAGAGAGAGAGAGAACCTCCTGGGTTTTATTGCCTGCTTGGTTATATAGAAAAAAATACGAAAAAAATCTGCATTAAAAATATTAATCCTGCATGCTGGACATGTATGGTAACTTCTATTTTGTACCATTTTCTTGTTTAAACTTTTCGCATGTCGTTGGTCATCGACCATAGCTTCTTCTCTTTTTGCCCCCCTGTTCATTTGTCTTCTTTCATTGGGTAAGAAAATGTCATGAGTTATATATAAAAAGTCCTCTTTCTACTGCTCATGCAACTGTTTGTTCCTATTTCTCTAATTATTGTTAATTTTTTTTATTAAAAAAAAATCTGGGCTCCATCCACCATGAACCTCTCTTGTGCATGCCCCACTGAAATGAACAGAGGTTGTGTGCGAGAGTAGGTTTGGTGGATTGGGCCCTCTGTTAGCTTGTAAATATCAGCCACATCAACCCACACTGGGCAAAACACAAGAACATTTCAGCAGGCTGGTTTTCAGTGGTTTTGGTCATTCTTAAACTAAACTAATCTTGTGTGTGGGTGGGGGGGTGAGATTTCTGGGCATTTTGCATTCAGAAAATAACTTTGTACATTTGGTGCACTTTTAAGAGCTGTTACTTCTTTTTTAAAGTTTAGTTTTCATTTTGGTTTTTGTTGGGGCAAAAAGTCATACAGTATAGCCAACTTTTGAACATCCCAATGTTAAGTATACTTGGAAGTCAACTTCTGTGAAAATTAGGAGAGTTGATGAGTTCATGTGATTATAAAGAAATTAAGTTCCACTAAAGTAAATTAAAGTGAACTTTCAAGGAATTATTTTTTGGGAAAGGTGTCCTTCAGAAAGCAATTTTTAAAAAATCTGTAACCCAGGAAGAATAATATTTAAAGTGGCAGTACATGAATTTGCTGAGGTTTAACTGCAACCCATCATTCCATGTGCCTATTCCCTTTGGGCTACCTGATTTTATCATACACTCAGGAAAATAAAATCAATTAGAACTGGCTGTTACTTTTTGCCTCTTCTCTTCCCCTCACCCCAGTAAGAATTAGTCACCTCTTAGTCAAGTCCATTTCAGTAGCTGAGACCTGAGCAACTCAATTACTGTATTTAGGTTCTGATTGGAGCTAAGTTGGTCAGTGTTAAGAGTATGAATAAATTCTGAATACATAATAAACAGCTCTGCATTTTTAAAAAAGAAAATTGTTTTGAAGACACAGACTTCACTTTTTCAAGAGTATTCTTTTGCAATGTTTAATCTGCTTCTTCATGCAGCCAGTGAGAGTTTAGCCAAATTTTCTAGCAACTACTAATAGTTAATAGTTTTGAGTCTTATGGGTGTTCTATTATAATTTTTTTTCCTTGTTTGTGTTTTTCCTGTTTTGTTTTTATTTTCCCTCTTCCTCCTGCAGGTCAGTAAAAGGATTTTACGTTGCACTGACAAAAATACCAAAATGAAAACCTTTATTTTTTAGTTTCCTTTTAGGGATTGCTGGCACTGCTGGCCGGATGCATTTTAAGTTTGTATTAGTTTATAAATTAACAGTAATACCAAGAATCGTGATAAATGAAAAGCATGGTGCTTGCCGTTCTAAATATTGTGGATATTAATAGTCATGCATCAGAAAAATACCCCCTGAGCTTTTGGGTTTTTACGGATTCAACTGTGTTGAAGTCGCAATATTGCAACTGCAGAAACAAAAAAAAATTATACTGTTTTTATTTCATGTAAACATTCTGAAGGGATCAATTTCAAATCCTGCTTATGATATGAAAAAAATATTAAAACACCTCTTGGTCTTATTGTAGTTGTATTCAGACTGGTTTCTGGTTTTTCTTTTGTTATTAAAATGTTTTCCTATTTTTGCTTATTAATATCATTGAAATGGAATTTTCTTTGAAGGGTGTGCTTTTCTCTTGGACTGAATGCACCGGGGTATCTCTTAATATTTAAGTCTAAATTCATCAAATCAGATGCACTCTATACTACTTCAAGTAATGTTTATTTCCCTGTTTAATTTGCAAGCTGAGTAAACTAGTGTGTTGCTTGTCTTTTACTCAGAAAAGTGCCACATGTTAATTGGATGTACCATCCATAGGATTATAATAACCTTTGTACCATCTCACTAGGAGTTGCTGCTACTACTACTACTGTTAAGCCACACGTGAGTCAGCTTGCAGTAATTAATAGTCAGGGTACAGGGTAATAATCTAACAGACTCGTTTGAGTTGAAACTGCACCACCAGTAAACTGTGACATAGTTTAGTCTTTTTATGTTCCAGATTGCAGTAAGTGGCACCCTGGTTCTACACATGTTTTCCTGGAAGCAAACACCATTGCTTTGAACAAGTGCTTCCACTTTTTAAAAAAATAGGATGAGGCTATAAGACACCAATTTTAGTTTGGGGAGGATAGTCCTACAGGCTTTAATTGTCTTTAATTTGGAGGGGTGGGGTTACCAGGCACAGAGGCAATGCTGGGAGCATCTGTTGCTTTGAAACAGACTTCTCTGTCCATTTTAGGGACAGGGCAAGATTTAACCCCAGTAGAACTCTATCAATGCCTAAGTCCCCACAGGCCATTCCACAGGCCCAATGAAATTACCCCCATTTTCCAATTGAGTGTAATCTCTTGGCCTGCCCTCCCTTAAACCGGTTTCAAGGCACTGAACTTAATACTGTAAAGATAATATAATCCTATATATTTTAAAAAGAGAGAATGCCATGACTTTCTGTACTCAACCCCACCTTGCAATAGCGTTTACATCTAAGCGTGCCTTCTCATGGGAACCGGGACATTTCGGGGATCGTGGCCGGTTGAGGCCGCAATAAGTGCTGGGCTGGACGAATCCTTGGAAATCAACGCAATTTAGTCTCGGGGAAAGGCGGTCTAGGGCGGTGGGGGGAAGGAATCTACCGTCTCGGTACAGAAGCAGTATCCCCGTCCCTTTTGCATGGACCACTGTGGGTCGGTCTGTACACTAAGTTAAATCCCCGACGGGGGTGGAACACGAGGTGACCTTCATCCTTCTCCATGTAAGGAGGCACTTGCGTGGAGTCACCAGGAGTCCTTCCCAAGGCTTGCTGGCTGCGACTGGGGCGTTATAGGATCCGGGTGCATCGAGTGTACAGTATTTCCTTACGCTGGCCCCCTCCATACAGCCTCCGATGGCTCTTTTCCTCGGTTCACCTCCTCCACTCGCCGCCACAGGCCATTCCTGCTTTCCCACGTTAGGCTCCTCTGTCAACTCCTCCAGCTGTGGCTCGCGGTGAAAATTGATCAAGAGATGCCTCGTTTGAAGGCGGCGAGAGGTGATCCGTGTTTTCTCCCTCGAATCCCGACAGTGTCCAAATCGGGTGTGTGTGCTCTAAAACACGAGGGTGATATCCAACATTTCTACTCTTTTTCTTGTGTGTGTGTGTGAAATCCTCTGATTGTGAACTGAACCGATTTCGGTACACCAGAGGAGAAAAGAGTGGGTCTCAACTTCCGTCGGTTCAGGATCGAGGTCCAAGTTTGGGACAAAGATGGGCTGACATTTCCTGGAAAGCAACCCTCCGCCACTTCCGAATTTGCGTGGCATATTATTTCCAAAAGCCTCCGGCCTTCATTCTCCGATCCTGACTTTAGGTTTGAGTCATAACAAATCCGAAAGCTTTTCAGGCGCCACAAGGCGCTTCGTCGTTTCTGCAGCCACCCAGGCCAGGCAGGCCTCTTCCCTCGTCCGCCGACTTCGCTGAGGGTGACACTCAACACTTCACGCTTACTCACAAGGAAGCCTCGCTGAGGTAAAGGGGACTGTCTCCCCGAGGAGGCGCGTGGTCAGACTCCTAGCCTTACGCATACTGAGGAGTAAAGTCTCTTAAACGTAATGGGAAATTCCCTGAGAAAGGAAGCTTGCTGAGGAAAAAGTGCGCTATTACTCCTCAGTAGGCGCATCCCCATTGATTCCAACACGGCACGGCTGGCAGTTTGCAAGTACGAAATCTCAGCCTTGGGGGTATGCTTCTGTATTTGAAAGTTCCCACTAAAACCCGGAGCGTGTGTGTGTGCGTGCGCAAATCCTTATCTCCTTTTGACATTTCCAGTGTGAGACAAAGAGATCACGATCGTGAGTGGGGAAAAGTCGGGACTCAGTGGACTGTGGTGGGGAAAGCGGCACAACTGCACCGCGAAATAGTCCCTTTGAACGATGGATCGCTGGAATGCTGGCAATGGTGGACACAACCGCACTGGAAAGAGAGGGCCTTGGGAAATCCAGTCTGGCTTGTAGGTAAATTGGGAGGTGGAGGGGAGAGCCACCCCAGTCCGACACATGTACAACCCCAAGCAAGGGACAGCAGGCCTTGCAGAGCAAAAGAGGGAGCAAGTGGAGGGCTTTATCTCTCTCCCCCCACCGACGGAGGCACGCTCGGGCTGTCGGAAGGCCTAAGAGGAATATTGTTCGTGGGAACTGCCATTGCATATTAATGTCCTCCCATGCATGCATTGAATAAATCACTGAAGCTAATTGAGCAACGTCCCCCTCCCTCCCGCTCTCTAGGTCTCAGAGTCTAGGAAATCAGGCCTGAGTGAAGCGCCAGAAAGCTGCCCAGATTCCCCTCCCGTCACCTCCCGGAGGCGCAGCTTCAAGGGCAGAGAGAGGCCTGTTTTAGAAACCGTCCCTTCGCAAGAGGTTCGCGGCTCCTTTTGGAGTTCAGTTTAGCTGGTTTTAGACAATAAAGAAAGATAAGGCACACTAAGCACTGGTGAGGCCCGACCTTTCCTTAGAGCTTCTTCCTCCTCAAGCCAGCGATGCAGCCATTCCCTCAGGTTAGGAATATCGCCCGGAAGCAGGCGCTGCTTCTCTTCTCGCGGAAGAGGAGCGCGTGTAGAAACTACACGGCGCTAGGAAAGGGAAGCGTGGGAGGAAACCATCCGGCAGTTTGGAAGTTGGGCAAACAGGATTCAGGCGAAAGTTTCTTCGGCTACCTTCCTAGAAGTTCCAGACCTATTGGGACACCGAAGGAAATTGGTCGTATGAATGGCTATGCGTGGATGTGTGTGTGCGTGTCTGTAGGAGCGCCACGTACAGGCTGCGATGCTACGCCTGCTTGCTTGGGTGCAAGGCTTACTTTTGTGTAAACACCTATAGCGCTACAACGACCCTGACGCAAAACAGACCCCCGGGGGCCTTTTTGAAATATGCCTCTTCCCGCCCACCCAAACCCCCCATATTTTGTGCCTCTTACAGATTACAGAACTGAAACTTCGTTTTAAACGACCGGAGATGAGGGGAGGCGACAGAAGATGGTTCCCACACCCGCTTAGCTGTGCTTCAAATCCTGAGTTTGCCGCTGTATAAAAAACGTTTTTAAAGAAATTTAGAGAGTTATCTTGCACGTGTACAGGCCATCAAGGACAGGGCAGTTGAGTAGAATGGAAGAAGGACCCCCCTGGAGGGGTGGGGGAGACGGGTCGGTGGACCATGAGATAGATGTACGTGCGCAGTGCTTCTGAATGACAAAAGCATTGGAACAAGTGCTAAGAGGAAGAATTGATAAAATGGCTGATAGAGGTTTGATTAGGGAAGAATGAAGGACAGGGCTCTTTGCATTTTTTACTTAGAAGTGAGCTTCAGTGCATACTATGGGACATACTCACTAGTAAGCACGTGCGTAGAACAGCCTACAGTCAACGTGGAAGATAAACTGAATGGTCGTACTGAAAGAGACGCGTACAGACGAGCGGATATCACGGGGGAAATTTCAGGGGGTGAAGTAATTGGTATATATACTGTATATATATATAGAACGCATAGACTGATTCCGAATGCAAATACTAACTGTGATGGGAAGATAAATGTGAATTAAAAGGAATGGGTAGGCAACTATTCTGAGTCCTCTCCCCCACACCCCGTGTGTCTGTGTGAGCGTGTTTCTTCCCTCCGTGTAGTTTGCTCCAAAGCAGATTCATTCAGGGGAGCATCGGACGAAATTCGGCCGGCTCTCCGTGTAACGGTTCGACACCAGCCTCGAACCTTTTCTTTGGTAGACCTGCCGGTCCGTCCTCTTTCGGCTCCTCCTTTCCTTGGGACATTTCTCACCCTTCCTAACTTTCTGGCGAGGAGAGGGTTAATTCCGAGCTCTCCATCACGCTCTCGGGCCGGCTTAAGGAAGCGGCGGCGTATTTACTTTGAGCATCTCCCGCTCTCCATTCTGGATTCAGAACGATCGACACAAGCCTCATCTTGGGAAAAGGAGAGCGGGCATCTCTCCCCTCCCCGCCCCGCCGCTCCCCTCCCCTTTTCGGCTCCCGTTTTCTAGTTGCAGCGGCTGGAGCCCGGGAGGCGCAATCTGTGTTTGCAAAAGAGTTACTGAACCTTCCTGCCACGGTCCGTAGGCAGGTTTACCGGAAAGTAAGTACCATACACTTACTCCCTGGGTTATTTGCCGTGGACCACA